GGTGGGTAGATCGCGCCCGTGTCGTGTCGTGACGGTTCCTCATCGCTGCGTCGCCACTTTTGCCAGCTCGAGCGTCATTTGGAGGAGAGTAAAGCTGCGCATTTAGCCATGATGCCGCGCTTCTCAGACAGGGTTGAACCGTTGGTTATATGTATATGATAATGCAAAATGCCAATTTGTATTTTTTTTTGTTTTGCGACGACTGAATCATACTTTAATATTCGTGAAGGAAGAACATTCATCTGTTAAGTTTTATTTACTTGTTAATTTCATGCATTAGGTACAGTCGAGACTGGACATCTAAAAAGTACCCTTAACTCCTTCTGTCCTTTACTCCGCGACCACGGAATGGGCAATTGACTATTTGGGCTGTATCAATAGTCAAAGAATTAACTAAAATAATCTCTCCAAAGTATCTATTCGTAGTAAAGGCCATTCCAAATGGATCATAAAGGCTGACACGATCCTAGTTGACGTTCCAGTTGAGGTTGCCAGTCACTGGAGTAGAGGTTGTGGCATTATCACTTAGATAAAATCCATTGGTGATTTGTTGGGATTTGAACCCGGGACCTTAGGAACTGAAGTCCTGCGCTCTAACCACTACACCAGCCCGCTGGCAGACCCAGTAGAACAAATATTTTTTTAAAAGGCATATGCCTGTTTCCCTCTCTCCCAAACTAAAATGTTAGCACCAGCATTCTTGAATCTGTCCCTGAAGAATACGCTAGTGTAATCTATAATTAATTTCAGCCTGGATGGCAGAGCTTTGCGCATCAAAGTGTCATCGCAGGTGAAAGTTCATCAAACTGATCTGTTGTCATTCAGCAGTCTCATAACCTCTTATATTTGTGTGGATCAACATGACGCCCTCTAATTATCCCCCAAAGTCCTCTTATCTATCCAATCTCGTATCCAGGCTTCTCTTTCTTTATTCGTCAACTCGTGGGTACATATTTCTCAAAGTTCATGACACAAAAATTTAGATATTGAGGGCACTGCTTTTTGATGGTAATTTTTTGTAACGTTTCAGCCATGTTTTTGTTCACTACAGTAAATAGACAACAATCATCCGCATAAACATGAAAAAGCGCTATCATATTCCAGTTGCTGTCAACGTGTAAACGGTTAAGTGCCAGTAAGTCGGCATTCCAGTCATCCCTTTCCAGTGACCTTCCAGTCATATCTCAACTGGAATGCCAGCCACTGGCAACGTGTAAATGATCTTTTTAAGATGAAACGCTTTGCCAGTAGATGAATCCCTTTCTTAAGCCACACTTTATTTTTCCAAAAATAAGTCTATATACATTGAATGTTGTCTAGGTGTTTCCTGTCCAAACCATGTTAAACCTCCGATTAGACATCTCCTGCAGAATTTTGAATGGGCCTATAGGTATCCTTAGTCCTTTTGTGAATTTCTGAAATTCTTTATTTAAATTGCCTAGGCATGTTTTTAGAACTTAGGCGTTTCCATTTTAGACCTAGTTATTTATTACGTGTCTGTAATTAATTGACCAAACAAATAAGAAGGCTTTGCTGATATACAAGTTCAAGTTAATGGTGAAGCTGATCAAAAAACCTAAGAGTAGGTCTACCTACCTTCCTCCTCTCACAAAACCTACAAACTAAACATATCTCTGTTCCAGGCGTAGACAATATTTTAGGTCGCCCTGGCAGCAGTTTTTTAGGCAGCAATGTTCGTTGTTAACAATTTAAATATTTTTCGTCTTACTCTTGGTACACAGGCCAAATTAATGTAATAGAAACTTTCTTGATTAGGCTGTTGTGAGCTATTGCTCTTGCGAGGTCACCAATTCAGACTCCAAGTAACAACATTGTAAAATTGCATGTACCTAAAGATTTCCTCGCGCGTGCGTGTGCACAAGAGGATGTGAAATATTTAGCATGATGTTGCATGAAATAAAGGTTTTTGAATTTAATTGAACTCTGTTAACCTCATAAGGTTGTCCTATCGCGGATCAATAGCGCAGGAAGCGTTGTCCATTGTCCCTTGCCAGTGATTATTAGGCCTACCATATGCAGCGTGGTTGAACACAGTTTCCATTGATAAAATTGTTAATGGCAGACGAATGACAACTGAAGTTTGTTGATGTCTGATAATCGATCTCTAGCAATCTACAACGAGCAGATGGGTGATCATCGTGGGCTTAGGTAGTTCTTGAAAACCGGTGTTTTGAGATAGATTTGGATGGTACATGGGAATGTTTAGTACTTTTGATCGGCATTTAGCCTAAGGGGAAATATTTAAAACTACACAACTGTCGGTAACCTCCTTCAGCTTCCGAGCTCTTGATTTTTAAAATAAATTTATTGTAATATTATAGTGTTTTGTCAAAATGGTAATTATTGGTATTATGGTAAAACCTAAAGAGAAATTGTCTGCCACCACTAAGAACTCCTATTTCAAATACAAAGAAAACACCAAACACTTTTCAACTTTCAAACCCAAGTAGCAATTTAATCCCACCCTTTAATACTCCTAAAAGTTTTGGAAAAAAGATTTGAAATTTTCTTGGAGGAAACGCCTAATTAAGCCTAAAAATCGCGAAAGGCTGGAAATTATATTTTTTAAGAGCATGTTATTTTATTCTTTTTATTTATTAGTCCATTAGGCTCTAGATCAATAATACTAATCAAGGTAAATTAGTTTACTCCATAGGATCTTCAAACTAATTTTGAAAAAGAGAAACTATATTTTCTTATTATTTGGACCATTTTGAACATTTTTTTCTTCTGGGACCTTTGGGCAAATGCCTATTTTACTCCACCCTGAAAATTGCGGTTGAAAATCGCGAAAAAATCTTGAAAATCATTTTTTCGGACAAGAACGATTTTTTTTAGTTTTTATGTTTTTTTCTTATGATTTAGGCCATTGTAAACAATTTTTTTCGGGAAATGTCGTTTTTTATCCTGAATGGTTTGAAATTCTCAAAGTACCCTATAATTGACCGGTTTTCGGGTAAACCTGGTAATTCTTTGTCCATATGGTAAAGGTAAATACCAATAATATTAATCACTAAGACTAGGTAACCTAAACAAACCAGCCTAACCTACTGTGCCGGCCGCACAATTTTTATTTCAGCTGCAGTTTTTAGATCTGGACGAAATGAGAGCATTATATTGGCTGTCATGGCGTGACGTCACTCTCTTCTCTTAAGGGAACACCATTACCACAACGATACGAAGTTTAGCCAATCGGTGTTCGAGTGTGGTGTAGTGGTTAGTGCCAGGGCTAGACATATCTCTAGCCCTGGGTTAGTGCACACGGCTGATGTTCAAGAGGTTACCAGTTACCACTGATAACAGATCGATTCCCACTGGTGACACGTTCTTTTTGTCAAATATTTTGCTTAGAATGCGATTACTTCTTAACTTTTAATCTTTTGTTAGAATTTGAGGCATTTGTAATTTTGTTTTATGAACAGAACTACTTTTTCGATTAGTACCTTTACCTTTACCTTTACCGGTTCTTCATCGTTGCCCAGCCATAGCTGGATAGATTGCGTCAAATGAAAAAATTAAAACTTTAAAACTTTGTCTATATACACTATATACAAGGCGGTGGATCATGATGTCCAAACTGAGTCAGGGGTTTCAAAAAATTCCCTGATGGAGTAGAGGGGCCTAGTCTTCAACTCCCGAGACATGTGCGCAACAAACGCTTTCACTGGCAGGCCTCTGATCTCAGCACTGAGACTATTGTACAGCTTTATGGCCATAGTGGGGAAACTGTTTGCTGTCTTACTGAGCCGATGGGATGGAAGGTCAAGTTGGCTACGGTTACGGGTATTGCAACTATGGAGGTCACCCCTTGAGCTAAAATCATTTAAGTTTTTCTTTATGTGTACAACACTGTTTAAGACGTACTGGCTGAACAATGTCATAACTCCCAGACGCATGAAAAGAGGTCTACAGTGGGCGTCAGCTTTGCTAGAAGTTACAATTCTGAGTGCCTTCTTCTGGAGTCTGAAGGATCTCCTAGAACCAGGTGCATGACCCCACAACTGCAAACCGTAGTTCAGATGACTATGGAATAGGCCATAATAGACTGTCAGTAAATACTGCTCGGATATCTCCAGCTTGATTTTGCGAAGCAGAAAGATTGTTTTGGATAGCTTGTCGTTAAGGTGGGATATATGGTCTTCCCATGTAAACCTTCATCAGATTTTTTTTTATTATCAGCAAGTTTTGTTAGTTAGGGTAGGTTATGACGGTTTAGTTTTATAAAGATAAAGATAAAAATATTGATTTTAAAAATTCAACTGAGTCAACAAACAACAATGAAAGACGTCTCTCAACCCTCAAGAGAAGAAAATGACGTCACGCAATGACAGCGAATAGAATGCTCTCATTTTGTCCGTACCAAAAAACCGCAGCTGAAATAAAAATTGTGCATTCCGGCCGTGAACTTTTGAGTTGCACACCACGAGTTTAGTTTAATAAATTAAAAGGTCGAATTAAACGTATTTTTTTCACGGTTGTGAATGTAATCAGAGCAAATTAAATTATAATTCCTAGAGTGTATGGGCCGGAATTTTACCTCCGGACCTGAACCCCCTGAACCTCTTCATGAGTTCAGCTCAAGATATTCATTTACCCCCGGAATTTTACCCCCTGGCCAGAAATAGTAACCCACGAATACGTGGTGCAGCACATTATTGTTATAAACGGAGTTCCCGTAGTTACTGTACTCGATTTAAAAAAACCCCTATAATACTGCAATTACAGTAATTAGATAAATGTTTTGCAACGAAGTTTTATCAAAAATATTTTTAACTATGCAACCTAAACAGTTTTTGATTATTCATTTACATAATTGGGGCCGTTTGAATAGTTTGGCAATTTATTAAATTTTAAGTTATGACTTTATAAACGCATTGTTAGGAAACCGCGGCAGACGACAACATTATCACTAATCGGGCGTTAGCGCTTGCGACTTGCGATTCGTGCTGGCGTTGCCGCCACCGCCACCCGCCATGGCACCCGAGTCCCGCCAGAAAGTTTGTCAAGCTAGAATCTAGAAATTAGGTTATGAATGTTGGTTGATTGCTAGAGTAAATCTATTATTTCTTTTTGAAAACCTCGGTATATATGTTATTTAAGTAACGGGAAAGACCCTTTCTCAACCATTACTAATGCAATTAAAGGTTTGTATTGTATTATTGGAAACATCATCTGCTTGAGATAGGCTTAAAGCTGTGTGTACTAAGTAGGACTAGGCTATCCTAAAGAAATAGGCTAACACACCTCATATGTTGTGATAAATACCTACTGCATTTTAGGGTACAGTTTCTTGCTAGATATACAATCAAATAAACACTCTTGATATCTAAGTTAGGCCCTAACTTATAGCCTTGTAAACTAAGTTTAAGATAGGGCCTAACTGGTTTTTGTAACCCGGGTAAAGGTCGATTCACAACATCAGTTACGGCACGTCACAGTACGAGTACAGTCACTTCAGGCACGTCACAGTTAACAAAAATATTCTTCAATGGATTTTCTATTGCGCTATCTACACTCATCCGTTGCAGTTCCGTCAGTGGCTCTGCCGGCGTCTGTCAGTCAATTTCAAATTTCTTTCCACCGATATTTTTGGATTATTCGGACGCCTGACGGATCTGTTTGAGGTTAGAAATAGTGTTTTTGTTGTTGATTGTGTTTATATTATGAGTAAACTTACTGGTTAACAATTAACAAGATGGACAATGATAATTGATAGAATTACAATTACAAGGTTAATAATTTAAAAATTTTGTGTGTAAATTACTGTAAATTTTAGAGACGGAGGACTGACTGAAACCAACTGACGGGCAGTAAGTCTCACACGTATAATGCTTTCATCAATGGTACCGGTACTCTGATAATTTCAGGAAACCAAAGAGATGGGGTCTAGAATGAAGAGCAACGGTGTGGGTCGCCGGAAGGACGGAGACGTGTCGTTGAACATGGAGTGTGGAGACGAGGACTTGTCGGAAGCTCAGCTATCCGCCTACAACAAGGCGATGATACAGTACAGAGAGACAACCAATAGCATTGATAACCTGCTGCGCGCTGGTGTCATCGACATCACAGAGCGAGGACAGGACTACATCTCCATTGAGTTTAAGGAAGGGTGAGTCAAAATTATTCATAGAAAAATATCTGATAGGCAAACTTTTTGGAATAAAGTGTACCAATACATAAGGGATTAGGCCCTACTTGATCGTTTTATTGAGGTAGAACATAACTTGTGCACATATAACTGCAAATATGAATGCCTAACTACCAATTAAAGCAAACAAAAGGATCATAAGAAGAAAGGTTTATTCAATATATGTTTATAATAAATTCAATTTGCAACCTGTAAATGTGTTTTAGTCTGAATGGTGTGAACGGCACCAAAGTGAAGCCCCCGGTGATGCCGACCAGTGGACCCAGACCAGCCGGCACCCCATTGCTGCTGTCGGTGAGTGGTTAGGTCAAAATGTCAAAAAATCAAGAAACTATAACTTAAAACATCCTATATGGATTTTTTTAAATATAGGAACCAGAATATATATTCTGCTATTCATAGGACTATAGATTTTTTAATATGAACCGGTTTTTTCTCAAAGAATCTGAATCAATTACCTGACAGACTTTCAAGATCCTTCTGTTTGAAGGAAAGATAATGTTTAGAAGATGGGAATGTTGATGTCATAATTTTAATTTTTGGATTCAGTTTCTAAGTTTACTTTCAACTTCAAAATGTCTTAAAATAGCTGATGATACCATTTTAAGTTTGTTTCAGTGTAATACGAATTGGTTTTGCTAATGCAGGGGTTTTGATTAAAAAAAAGAAAAAGAATATCTAGTCTAGTTAAATGAGCCTATAAGAAGAAAGTTTTCTTTTCTTCCTAAATTTGAAATTCTTTGATAGATCAGCTGTTTAAAAAATAATTCTTTCTGCAAACTCTCACTGAAATGTTTACATTACAATTGATTATACTTTTAACTTATATACGTTACTTAATTTAGTTTCATCCTACTGTAGAATATTATATTCTTTTTTCAGAAAATGTGTCATTTTGAACTATAAACTTGTCTTAATTGTTTACTTCTGATAAAGTTTTGTCAAACATATTATCTGTGTGTTTATAAGTTTATGTACCGGTAATGCAAATTTGAAGCCATGTTAGGGAGATTTTTTTGCAAACTATCGCTAAACTGTTTATTATTAGCAGTTTACATGTTGATAGTTTCTATATTTGAATGTCTCTCTGTTCTAATACTATACTGTTGGTTGACTTACTTATTTCCCGTTATATTCTCTGGAAGCATAGTGCGTCCTATAAAGTCACATGTACTGTCATCAATTATTGATCCATAACAATTGTAACACATAGACAC